CATTTTTATTTTTATTTTTATTTTTTATACAATAATACATAAAATTTGATTTAGATTCGTTAATTATTTATAACAAAGTCATAAAAATATTAAAAAATCATTTTGAAGTTTAAAAAAATCAGTTTATTTTAGTAGCCCGCAGATGTTAAAAAAACAAACAGTCTTCTTTTTTCAGATTGCTGACGTTTGATCCACCTCTTCTACTGCAGAGGTCTACAGATGTGGTCAGCATACTGCATAATTTTGCCTTAGAAAAAACAAATAGCACCTTAGTCATGTCCGGTTCTACTCCTTTCTCCCTCTTAATGACCTAGGCATTTGGAAAATTTTAGAACGGTCAAATAATATAACATATCTGATCGATCCTATACCCGAAGGGTATGGAACATGATGCATAATGTCTTACATAAAAACGTGATACTTTACCAGTCTTTTGCCATAATGTTTCTATTCGTCATGTTCTCAAAATTCGAACTATGAAAAGGTATGTCGTAATCATAATCGAATTTTGAGAACACAATTCATATATTTGATTAAAAACTCTCAATCTAAGCTCTTAGATTTCGAAACGAAGTATAATATTCTCTCCCTTAATTATAGCAAAACAACTTTCAACTTTTTCAACTTTGCAAATTGAAACTTTTGTTTTCTATAATTAATATAATAATCATGCTCCCACTAACATGATGATTATCTCCTTACTAGCATAATACTTATGCTCCTACTAGCTTTGACATGTATTCAGAAATCAACTGAACCTCTAGAAAACAATGCTTATTGAATTTCTTAAGTTTATATTTCTAATACTAGATGCTTCGATAAGACTTTATCTAAGCTTCTCAAACTCATACACCTTTCCTTATATAACCCATGTGTGTGTCTAAACGATTCTAGAACTTATAGTGATAAGTCTCGAATGTCTAAACTAATTTGCCAAATCTCACAATTCAAACTATGAAGAGGGATGTCGTTGTCATAATCAAATTTGAGAAATGCAAATTGCACAATGCTATCTTCGAAAAAATTGCACAATGCTATCTTCAAAATTTTTCTTAGTGAAAGCGTTTCCTCACAATCATTCTCATGAATTTGAGAGAAACCTTGTCACTTAGATTTTATGGTGTATGTGTTCCTATCCATGTGAATTTTTCATAAAAATAATCACAAGACAATTGTTGTGACAAATCACACTCTTATGGACAGAAGTTGTTCATTCTTAATTTCTTGCCATCAAGGGTCCCACCATTGCTTCCAACTTATTGATCAGCTCACCCCTATCTTTCAATGTACTTTCCGTTGATCAAGGTGCCTTGCCCCTATGCAACCCATTGAGAACTCATACAACTCACATGCATAGTTGACCAAACTGAAATGGCATAGAAACAAGAATATGTCAACACGATAGATTACAAACCTCAAGTCGTGTGCTAGTATTTAATTATAGGTTTACTCTTGATTAGTTCTTGAACCTTTTCAATATCATTTAGACTTCCACTAACCTCTTGACATATAAGATTCTCTTATCAAGAAACATTTCTTGACAAAACAAATATTCAAGAGTTAGTGTGTGTCTTTATTGTAACGCCCGTAGATCAGGGCTAGTCAATTTAGAGACGATAAGCGTCAAAAATGACTTTTTGATAGAAGATTATTTAGAATGAATAACCTTAACTAAGTTTTAGTGGCCGTGACAAGGATTCCGGATATATAAAGAATGCCGAAATCCGAGTTATAACGAAGAAGTTATGACCTGTCGAAGTTTCATGACAGAACCGGTACGACACTGAATGACGTTAAAATGTGAATTTACGATAGAGCGATATTTAGCCTTAGTGATCTAAACGAATGTTGTAGAGTTCGTTAAACCGAGAGCGTGCATATATAAAATGTCTTCGTACGAGGAAGTTATGATTTTTCTGAGTTTCAATTTAGCAGTATGCAACCCAAAACTCAAATATGAGATCGAGTGATTTTAGCCAAAACAATCTAAATGGGAATCGAAAATCTCGTTATTAGTAGTGCAACAATAAAAAGACAGACGAGAACGGACGTCGAATGTGGAAGTTATGAATTTATAATTGAGTTTTCCTGTCCCGGCCTACTAAAAATAATATAATAAAAATAAAGTCAAAATTTGACGACGGAGTCTAAACGAAAGTTGTAAAACATAGTCTCACCTATGAGTGGATATAAAGAACGTCAAAAACGGAGCTCGTATGCAAAAGTTATGCATTTTTGAAGTTCGGTATATCGGGTTACGCTCAGCGTACCCGTATACATGGATCAAAATGGGCAACGTCGACCTGAACCATCACTCGAGTGCCCCGGGTCCGTAAGCAGTGACGTCTCCGGTCTGATCCGAACTACGCCCCACGTACATCTTCGTACGCCCAACGTATGCATGAAAGAGGCGTTACGCCCCGCGTAAACTTTGATTATGCCCAGCGTAATCCAGTGCTCAGCACCCTATAAATAGATGCCGTGGGCTGCCGAGTTTTGGTGCTCAAATTCTTCTCTGTCACTCCTTATTGCCTCGTTTTGCGTGCAACTTATACCCCGAAGCCCCGATATCAATCTCGACACCCGAAGCAAGTCCAGAAGCGCCGAAGATCCCGAGAAGTAAAGTTTCCGTGCCGAAACTCTACCCACGAGAGGCCTGTTTTTCAAGGAAGATCTCCCGGTTTCACCAAAGAATACTGCTTTTAGAGTCGTAGTGTTGTCCGATCATCATCTTATCAAGTGAGTGTATAGTCTCTTTCATAAACACGATTTTAATACAAGTAATGTTTGAATGTATTAAGTATATGTTATGAGTGAGTGTGTAGTTACTTTCTTCTAACACATAAGTATAAAGTATTTTCTATGAAATACGTGCTATATGTTTATATATTGTTGTTTATTTGAGATGGGTGTAGAATGGATGTTTTATATAGTTTTTGGATGATTTAAACTGTATATATGTATTTTAGATCTACGAATATGTCGGGTAGAACATGGGTAGATGGAATAGTTGGTGTATGATGAAGGATGGTATGAGTAAACTCTGGTGACTATGAGACGTAGTGCCTATTGTATAAACCCTGGTGACTATGAGACGTAGTGCCTATTGTATAAACCCTGGCGACTATGTGACGTAGTGCCTATTGTAGGAACCTTGGTAGCCATGGAATTTGGATAAATTCCTTAGGTCAATCCTTAGGAATAAATGAATGAAGGATAGTTGATTCTTAGGGTAAAACCTTAAGAAATAAAGAATATAATGGGGATGGGTAATTGGATTGATTGTTTGATGATTAAATATAATAATTATATTATTGTGGGTTGAAAACCCTATATGCTCACCAGGCTCCCAAGTCTGACCCACTCAGTTTTCATTGTATCACATGTATCAATACGAAGACATATTTCACTGAGAGATTAAAGGAGATGTTAATCATTAGTGTAGATGAATGTAAGTTCGGTTTATGCTTATGTGTCTGTATCGGAACATGACATCCCGAGATTTTGTTATTTAATGAAAACACATTTCCTCAAGAAAAGTTTCACTACTAGAAAACAGCCCTTTAATGACGCGCAAACAATGACACGCGGTGATTTACGATACGCAAAAGCGTGTGCCCTAAAAATAATGTTATCTCTTCTAAAATTTGAAGGATAGTGGACACGTTTTTATGCGTGCCCTAAAATTAATGTCGAACAAAAAAAAACACGGAGGGCACTTATTTAAAAATGGGTGTCGTCTAGAAATGTCGCTTTATATTTTTTTAATGAAAGGCGCGTTCTTTTCTTTTGCAGCTGGGGGGAAATGAAAATCCCAAAAGTTTGAAAGGCCGCCATTGTTACCCTCTGCCTTATTTCCATCATTCTTTTCTCTCTCTCTCTCTCTCTCTCTCTTTCTCTCTCTATCTCTCTCACTCTAATACCCAAAAAAACCCTAATAACATCACCAATCCTCTTTTTTCCCACAACAAAATCGCAATATAATCCCGTCTTTTGAACAGATCAAACCCATAGGGGTTCTCGACGGAAGAGATACAACTTCATACGAGCCCTAATTTCTCATCTGAATTCATTAACTTCTTCAAATGGTTCTCAGACTTTTTTTTTCTCTCTCTCTACATTTTCTTCTCCTTCATTTCTCGATCCCCAGAAGGTCAGGAGAACGTTGCGTCTGCAATCGGATTGCTTGGTCGTAATCCTGAGAGCGTTGAACGCCGATGTATGCTCGGTGTTTGTTAAAATTCTCAAAGAAGGTCCCATGAAAGAGCAAGCAGTTGTCTCCTGGGCTGTATCGTTCAATTAACACAATTCATCAAACCCTAAATCGTAAAGGAAACCTAGCTCCCACAGCTTTCTTCACACTTCACCTCCTCAAAGTTCTATCGGTAATACATCAAATTTTTCTTTGCTTTATACTATTTGTGTGCGACCTTCTAATCTCTTTGATCCAAGTTCTATTTAGGCTCCGTATGGAGGAAGTATCTTCGTATGCGACATTCTAATCTCTTTCATCTTTTTACATCTCAACATGTATCTCGGAAGCATCATAACTGGAACTGCGCTTCAGCAACTAAAAGAGTTCTTGGATCAGTCGCCATCCCGGAGAAGACAGAGCGAGGAAACCATGGATCCTGGTTCGTTACTTTGGCCTGTAACCGAGCCTCAATTACAGTTGTACTTCTTGCTTGGACTCGTGTACTCAACCATCACCCCTATTCTCCTTCCATTTATCATCGTCTTCTTTGAGTTTTCTTATATGTTTATTCATCATATGAACACAAGTCAAGATTCGAATTTGATGCCTTCTGTTGACCTCAAGAATGCAATATCAGTGAATAGAAACTCCGAAGATTCAATGAATTCAGGGAAGATTATGTTTTTGCGATTTGCACATCTGTTATTGATTTCATGGCTGTGTAAGTTGTTAGGGTTTTTGTATGTTAACTTGGTTATGTTCAAAATATTGTGTTCAGGGGATATTCCAGCTGCTACAGAAGAAGATGTTAATGTTGTTGTGGATGCTGCTCACAAAGCTCTGCAAATTTCTTCACGAGAAAGCATTTTCAACCATGGAAGCTACCACACATGAACTGATACATCCAACAATAGATGTTTTGCTGTCAATGCTTGCAGTAAGAAACCTGATCAGAACATTTGTCTTGAATCTAAGGTAAATTTATATGAAGCTCTGCACTTCATTATGCTTTTCTGTGATTACAATACAGATTCTCGTATCTTAGCTGCTTTCTACATATTTAACACTATGTTCTGTTTGATTTGCAGGTCTATATAGTTGTATATTGACAATACTATTATTGGAAAAGAACTTAGTTGAAAATTAGCAACTAGCAATTCATTTATGGTGGACTTACAGGTGTTGGACAGTGTGAGATGAGATAAGAAGGGTTTGGTTGTGGGTATTTTGTTTAGCTTTCTTCTTTTTTGTTTTAATTTTGATAATTAATTGGTGGACTTACAGGTAGTTGAGCATTTGTTCTGAGAGAGATGTTTGTTGGGCTGGGGCTTCTCTTTCACAGTCAAAGGAAATGAGTCATTCATTTCATTGTAACCAGCTGCATACGTTCCCTTCACTTTGACTATAACACAAGTATGCCTTTTTTTTTAAATATGAAATTGACTTTTGATGAAAGTTGATAGAGGAATATGTTTACTTATGTGCGCTTTTCTATATTTCAATTTTCTAGTGGAGGACTAAATTTAGGAAGACAATGAACAAAGCTGATAACGATGCAAGCACAAGGGCAATCGATTCTCTTGTGCAAATATAATATGTAAGATCACAATTTACCTTTCGTTATTTTTTCTTTATCTTACAACTTATTTTTTCTCCTTTAGACTGTGAAGTATTTCAACAATGAGCAATTTGAAGTTGATGAGCATGATAATTATTTAAAGAATAAGTAGTTTTTATGCTACTCTCCTCACACAAATTTATTTATGTGAAAAGGGTAAAAAAATAAGTTTTATAATGTTTACCTCAGGGTATGAAGATGCTGCCTTGAAGACACAATGTAGTGCATGATTTGGGAGGTACCCAACTTGCATTTTTTTTTTATAAATATCTTGTGCTATAAACTTCTGATAATGACAATGACCCTTAACTTTGTTTTTAGGTTTTGCTTGAGCCGATTGAAATGACATGTGATCCAACCTATCTTGTTAATTTTTTGGAGTTATATACTGTGTTGGCTTCCTTTCAATCTCATGAAGGAAGGGTGAGTGTTATTCTAGTTTACATGTTTTGAGGTACTTGCATGATTTTTTAAGTGTTACATGTCTCAAAGTAGATGCATTCTTTATCTGTAGATATTGAATTCATTATTTCATTAATACGCAACGCAACTAATAGATTCTATATGATTAACTTATGAGGTTTCTGAGAAACTGGTTTCATGTTACAGGTCCTAAACTCGCTTAATGGGATAAAAGACATGAAGTCACGTCTAACATCGAAAGCCGAGTATGTCTTCTCCTATGATCTTACTGCTAGAATAATATTATTTCCTTTAGGGTCTAGAATTGGGATTAGTAGCAAACAACATTGTATTTAAACTACACATATGTATTTTCTCTTTTTTTTTGTAGATACATGTTGTCAGGTCGGAAGAGAATGATGTGGGATATTAGTTTAATAAACATCAAGATAATTATTCCCTGGGAGAATGGGAAGTCAGAGATACATAAATTGGTATTGATTTCTTTTTAAATTGTCATACGAGGTTCACATTATTATTATTTGTATTTATATTAACTTCAAACCTTAACATACACAGGTACTTGGATTAACAGCTGTCACCTTTTCATCCAAGCATGATGTTAGCTGTTTTGCACCAGATATCAACGTACCTTCTCAATTCATGAGGAATTTAATAGATTACAATTCTTCAAGTGAGCTTCTAGAAGGAACTCAGATTCAAGATCTGTATGCTCTCCTGGAAATTAAACTAGTCGACTTCCAGGTCAGCTGTCAGCATCTTCTCTCTCATTTTCACTCAACATCTCACATTTCACATAACTGACTGACCGATGTGTGGTGGCACCATTTTTGATCTTACTGGAGTATTATTTCGTATAGGGTCTAGAAATGATATTATTACTAATAACAATAGATAATTACTTTGCTCTTCATGGGATTTTCAGGTATTATGTTACTTGGCTTCACTATTTTCAAAAAACATAAACTTTTTTTTTGGCAAGATGAGGTACCAAGTTATGTAGTCAATAATCTTAATTTATTTATTTATATTTTTTAATGTGTTTGGAATTGGATTAGTTATGATGCTTTGACCTAACTCTAACTTATATATTGTTTTGGTAAGCTCTAGATTCCAAAAATGAAAGTTGTCAGTGACACTAAAGACCTTAAAGAAGACCTTAATTATCAAGAAACATAGGATGATATGACAATCAATGTATGTGTTATAATTCATATGGATAGAGATTTTACTTTTCATGTCATTATTATTTATTTCTTTTTTTTGTTTGCAGTTTCTTGCAGAAACTTTGGATGTTGTTCAAGACATTGATTGGGTCATTTATCTGTTGCTAGGTAACCTTCTCAACCACAACATTCTACTTAAGCAGGTGAGTAATCAAGATTAAGGGAGACTTGTAATAATGTTTGGCATTCCTTTCCAGTAAGAAACAGAGTTGTATGATTATTTGTTACTTTTATAGGAATGTATAACCCATGTTAGCAATGTATTATTTTTGTTTAACATTTGAATGATTCTTTGTATGACATTATAATTTGTGCAATTTATTTTATTTTTTGAGTATGAAATTTTATTTTATATTATGCAATGGATTGTATTTTTTGTATATGGTATTTTATTTCTATTATGAGAAATTAAATGCAATTTTAATTTAAAAATTAATAAATATATAAATTTATTTTTTTTAAACATTTAAATTTACGATACGCAAAAATGTGTGTCATCTTCATTTATGACATGGCCTTTCTTGACAGGGGCTTTCTTGATACGCATTGCGTGTCATTAACACGCGCGTCGTAAGGTTACGACACGCAAATGCGTGTCGTCTTCCTTTATGACAGGGCCTTCCTTGATACGCATTGCGTGTCATAACCGAGCGTCGTAAATGCGTGTCGTCTATAGACGACGCGCAAAAGCGCGACGTCTCTCTTTATGACAGGGCCTTCCTTGACACGCATTTGCGTGTTGTCTGAGCATTTTACGACGCGCAATGAGCGTCGTAAAAGGCCTTTTTTCTAGTAGTGTTTTGATAGATTCTTATCATATTTTGTTTTGGGAACAAATTCCGCAACACTTTTAATAAAAGAAATACTCTGATTTTAAAACAAAGCATAAACAAAATCGCTCTTTTCTGGCCGTGAAATTGGGGATGTCACATTTATCAAGACAAAACCTACACTCAATTTGGTAATAGTTGGTCTTTGTCTTATTCAAGACATCACAACTTACCAAAATGTGTAAAAGAACATTTCCAATTCAGATTATGTCACTCAAGTCACAATCTTAGAGCTAGACTCTAAGACTTGATTTTGGAACGAAGTACGATACATCTTGTTGACTTAACCACTACAACAATTCCCGACTCCTCTTCTTAGCCAAATTAGTACACTACGGTGTCCTTAGAGGATGAATTGCAATATGGCTCTTATAATTACCAAGACGATCATAAAACACGATACAAAAGTACTCTCCCTTCTTCTTGGATTGGAGAAACTTTTATCTTTCTTCCTAATTGATTCCTTTTATTCGTTTTGCCATTTATTGAAACTTTTCAATGACTCAGAATTACACTTAATCTTGTAAGCATAACCACATTTACAAGACTTTTAGTAAATCATGTCGAATAACCTTATGGTTATTACGGTTGACTTGACCAGTGCATAACATTGTGAACTCGATCTCCTAGTCCTTCACTTGACTCTTTGTCAAGGAATTAGCCTTAAAATTTCTAAGTGCCAAGATTTCCATACATCACATGATTCAAATCATATGATTCCAAGCTTCTATCTAATTGAAACTTGGGCTATAGGAATCTTTCCTTACTTAGAAAATTATGACACTACCATAAATAACATAACTAAGAATCGCATCCACTTAATATTGCTTATAATAGAAACACACAAACATCAATTTTCACAATTGCCATTGCAAGGAAATATAAATAAGACAAAATCAAAATTTATTTTATTGCGGAAAAAATATATCCTTACAATGCAAATGAAAACTATGCTATTACATATTCCTAAGCAATCTACCATAACTCTAAGCAACAACTCAAAAGAAATCCAATCATTGAATCCATGTGATCATAATCCATTTCTTCGCGATCAGGCTCAACTTGCTCCTTCCTTTAAGCTTCCTTTCTTTTCTTCGATCCTTCAAAACATCGAATTGTAATCTTATCAGATCGTGTATTGAGAATCTCCAAATAGGAACTTAATAGAGTTAGATAGTGGATTTTACCTGAAATGTAATATTATCACATCATGTATTGAGATTCATACATCTTGACTCTCCCATCTCTTAGATCTCTCAGGTAGTCAGGGCAGCTTCGTAACCAATGCCCCTCCTTTTTGGCAATAGAAACATATGGATTCTTTTGGAATGGTACACGGGACTATCTCAGACTCAGCCTTTCTCTTGCGTAGAGAAAACTTTTCTGGACTTCCTATGTTTCCATTGCCCATAGAAGGTTGGGACTTTGATTTATCAGACAAATTTGCTCAACCAGTGTGCCAAATCATTTCTGATTCAGCAGCAAAACAAATAAGTCAAATCAATAAGGGTTACGTTGTGGTCCATCATATAGTACTCTCTAACGAACTTACCATATGATTCGGGAAGTGATTGAAGAACCAAGTCAAAAACCAACTTCCTTGAGACATCGACACCCAACATCCTTAACCTGTCAATGTGTGACTTCATCTTTAAGACGTGTGCACACACAAACTTTCCATATTTGTGTCTTATTGCCAACAGGGCTTGAGTGACCTTGAACTTTTCAAGTCTTCGAACACGTGGGTCAAGGAGAACTATTGGAGGAGGTGGAGGAAGTGATGCATGATTTCCATTTCCGCAATCCAACCGTGGAATATCATCTTCACGTGGAAAGATTTTACCAACGGATTTAGGAAGACAAGAGTTGTCAGACTTTGACATCTACAAAACGGGAGAAAATTCAAGTTTAGTTGATTGAGTCCTTAATAAAACACCCAAATGAGATATTAAGGCTAGGACCCAACACAGTATCCTACAAATTGGAAGAGGGATGCCGTAATCCAACTCGCAGAACATTTGAAGGTAGGTAAATGACGATTTACCAATTTCCACCATGAAATACGAAAAGAAGGTTAGGTTTTAAATGTATTGAAAACTCCTAGATCTTTTGAGATTCATTTAACTTTTCAATGACATGTTTAAATCTCGATATGCCTCTCGATTTGTGACTGGGATGTCGAGGATCACAAAATAGGGTGTAAATAACCGTGCAAATATACATGGTGCCCCCAATGTTACAGTCACCTATTCGACGTGCCGGTTAACCACACGTGCTCCATCGAACTATGACAAACATCAAGTCACCCTTTGCCACCTTTTCTTAGAACCCAATTAGTGTGCCGGTTAACTACACACGCTCCACTAACGTCTTAGCAAGGGTATAAAGTGTAATTTCATGGAATTGCATCAAATTCACTTTTTCCTAGAGTAACTAAGATTGAGAATTCTTGTAAAAAACATTTAGTTACTTTATAATTCATTATACTTTAAATGGAAAGGGTTTGCCCTATCCTACCAGTTCGGCTAATGACCCTCCACCAATCAAGGAAGTGGTGGATGAGAGTGGACACCCATTAAATGGCCATTTTATAGGCCATAACCTTATACCCCTTATAGATCGGCTTCGTAAATGAGGCCTACTAACGGTAAGACTAGCATTTAAGTTATACATATATAATATTAGACTTTTAAAGTTATATAGTATAAGGGTGTATTTTACACCTTTAAAATACTATGTGTTCAAATTTAATAAATTACACTTCTAATTAAATGTAAACCATATCACTCTGGATTTATTAACTCTATTTTAATCATACACTTAATTAATTTAATAAAACATAAGGGTGTAATTTGAACTTTTCATGAAATAAAACTAGGGTTTTAGAATTTAACATTTTAAAATTAATCTTTTAATCAAAATTTAAATTCCAAAACTTGAGAGCAAGTTTTGAAACAATTTCAAAGCAATTAGGTTTAACTATTTAAATTTAAAAAAAAAAAAAAAACTAGGATTTTAATCATATTTAAAATTTTCGAAATTAAAACCTTTTAATTTTAAAATCTTAAATATTAAAACTTTGATATAATAATTAACTAAAATTAAACAATTAATTTAAATTATTAAATCTTGGAGGATTATCTATTAAATTAAACAATTGATTTAACCTAATCCCTTTATCCCCTAAAATTCGAAAATTTGAGATGGGATAATTCATAAAATCTTTAATTACCATATTAAACAATTAAGGGGATAATTACAAGATATGGCATTATCCAAATCCCTAAAATTTTGGGATCTTATCTTGGGGAAGGAGGCAATTTCGAAACCCTAGGGTTGGATAACCCTAGAATTCGAAATCATGGAGGCTAAGGAAAAGGGTTTGGGAAACCCTATCAAATTTCGAAATCTAGGATTTATTAACCATAATTTCGAAAATCAAGACCTTAGGGTTTATTAGCCATAAACCCTAATTGTCATATTCATACATATGTATCAAATCTAATTGAAAAGAAAGACCAAAGGCTCTGATACCACTAATGGGTTTTATACAAACAATCTTATGTGTGCATGCAACCCTAGATTCGGATCTATGTTTTCACTATTAGTTATACAACATTATGAACACATAAGGAAACCTACCATGCTCCTAGTAATTTCAAAATTCATAAAGAAGAATGAAACACATACCTCTTGTTGTTATGTTGTAATAACAACTTGTTTCTTGAATCTCCTTGTCTTCGAAAGCAAGTACCACAAGTGTAGTACCTCTAATGGCTCACAAACACCAAGAGCAAATGAAGAAGCAAGAGAGAGAGAGAGAGAGAGAGAGAGAGGGAGAGGAGAAATTCGACTCTAGGAACTCTAGGGATCAAGTGTACGAATTTCCTATGCCAAAGGTCCTTTATATAGGTGTAGGGATTGGGGTTTCAGTCCTTATCCTTATTTGGTTACTTGCCCACCAAGCAGCCCAAAGGATAACCCTAGAAACCTAATCATGGACGAATTCTAAGGCCTTATCCCCTTAAATTCGTCCACCCTATCATATAGGGTATCCTTTGCCCTATTTTCTAACTATCACATAATTAGAGTTCAGTCCCCTTAGTTCAGTTAACTTCTTTTAATCACAAAATTAATTATTAATTAATTCTTGACCAATGTTAACTAAATAAATATGAGTTCTCTTTTAATATATTATTCATATAACATATTAATAAACCATAATATCCTCTTTCTCTATTATTTCTCCAGTCAAGTTGCTTTGGTGAAGGTAACCCAAAAGGACCATGCACAACCGGGTCAAGTACTTACCAAATATAGTTACAGGCTTA